TAAAAACAGTTAAGCAATATTAACAACAAGCAATAAACAATACATCAAGACACTATAAAACTGGGCCGGGCCAGAGTAATGGGTACAAGATTAAAAGTGCTGATGTGGCAGGAGGTATGTAGGATTATAAGGTAAGTGCAATGTGCGGTGTGCAGCAATCTTAGTTCTACTAAAGTGCTTCTGGGACTTGGTATTGGAGATTCCTAATATGGGAAGGCACATCGGAACAGCCAGGTCTTCAAGTTTTTTCTAAAGACTGCCAATGTAGGGGCCTGTCTTAAGATCTTTTGGAAGGGTGTTCCAGAGTCGGGGGCCACCACGGAAAAGGCCCTGTCTCGAGTCCCCACCAAGCGCGCCTGCAATGCAGGCGGAATCACAAGCAGGGCCTCTCTGGATGAACGGAGGAAGGGGCTAAAATAAGGGCCGAGGAGGGAAATGGCACCCGGTTGGGGCGCCAAGGCAAGGGAACCGCCTCGCCCCAAGGGCCCAGAGCCAGGCCTCAATGCGACCTCCCTCGTCGAGGAAGGGGGTGGGCCAGTGCTAAGAGCCTGGCACCACCCCCTGTAAAGTAGTTCCAGCCGGAACTATACTCGCTCTCTTCGTGGGAAGAGGCAAACTGCTCCACCATCTCCACTGCGCGGAGATGGTAAAGCTTCTTGTAAATGCTCAACTGGCATTGTAGTTCACTTTTATGTGAGAAATTTAAAAACAAGAGGAAGATTTTTATTGGAGGAAGACCATTCTTACTTGTGATATAATGCCTTTATTTTGCATCCCTCCCATTGATGCATCACTGAATTTAACTCTCTATCTTACTCTCTCCCAAACTATATATACATACACATACTGTCTCTGCTACTGGAGGCAACGCATTACCATCATAACCAGTAACTATTGAGGGCTGTATCCCTCCATTCATGCCTTATACCCCCCTGTTGTACTCACTGTCAGGATGACTTAAAACAGTTTAGATTACAGTGTAAAAATCCAGACTCACAGTAGATTGGAAAAGAAGAAATCCAATAAATCATGGCACTGCTGTTACACTCTTTGCTTTGCTCCAAATTGCTCAACAGACTCAAGAACATCCGTCCATGGTCTCTGCCATTCATCCCTTCCCCTTACACCTGGTTTGGATGCATAAGCACCATGCACATACATATAACAGCTTCACACTAAGGCAATAGCGTTCTTGTGTCTGCTGGGAATGAAGGGAGAGGAACATACAAAAAAAATCAGACTTCCTTCTTCTTATTATTTACCCCTCCTATGATTTTTCTCATTGCTTAGAGACTCACAGAGACATAGTAATGAAAGCCCAGCCAGTACCCTGAGACTTGGCAACCTTGGTCTTGGCTGATTTTAGACTTCAACCACCTCACTTGGGCTAAATAGAAGCGATCATGTGCATCAATGTGAAAGGAATCAGGCCCAGAACTTGCTGCAGTCCATGTGATTCCTGCGAAAGTAAACAGTCAACTTGGCACAAATCATATGCATCCTGTCCTGAGAGCATTTGATCGGTCAGCTCATGAACCGAACTTGAATAGCATTTCATTACTTTTCTCAGTTATCTGTTTACTTACATGGAATTTCCTTGGCAGGTCACAATCATACCTTCATTTAATTATACTTGACTTCTTCGTGTTCATGCTTGTGCAGAAGAGGGTGGCAAGGAAAGCTGTGCTCAGGTGGAAATATCAATCATGAAATGTGTCAATCAAAATCTAACTTTACATAATTTAAAAACTCTACACCTTCTCAGCATGTTATCCACACTTCTCAATAGATAGGAAGGGGGTTATTTTTCTTCTTTATACCACTGTTGATATGTGTTTGGAAATATTCTTTAACAGTGAAGGAACACATCAAGTGGCCTGTAGGGAGAATAAAAGAACAAAAGCCAGCCCAGAAGCCTAAGAAGCAAAAACCTATAAGAATTGAGATTTCAGTTGACAAGCATACATCTGTTGTGTGTGTGTGTGTGTGTGTGTGTGTGTGTGTCAGGAGCAACTCGAGAAACTGCAAGTCACTTCTGGTGTGAAAGAACTGGCCGTCTGTAAGGACGTTGCCCAGGGAACGCCCAGATGTTTTTGATGTTCTAACATCCTTCTGGGAGGCTTCTCTCATGTTCCTGCATGGGGAGCTGGAACTGACAATGGGAGCTCATTTGCACTTTTCCCAGATTTGAACCTCTGACCTGTTGGTCTTCAGTCCTGCCGGCACAAGGGTTCAACCCATTGCACCACCTGGGGCTCCTATCTGTTGTGGTGAGAATCTATCTGTCGATTGACCTAATATCCTATCTTTCTCCTGTCATAGTATTCAAATTGGATCCAGCTACTTTATTAAAAGTACAGTTTTAAACAATGTCTTCAGGAAGACTTAAATGCCTCACTAGAATCCTAGAGTTGCTGCCAGTCATATTGACAGTCCTGAACTAAGTAAACAGATAGCCTGATTTTCTGTGTGCCCGCATGCCAGGTAGCTTTCTATATACCTGTGTGCCAGATACACAAATGTCCAAATCCTGGCTAAAAACACTAAGGCCCCCACCATGCTGAAAACTTGACATAGTGCAGGCATGGCAAAGTAATAATATAACACAATATTGAAAACTTTGTGTGAATTCAGTATAATAAATGCCTGAAGTAATGAATTATTGCCTGCAACTCTAAGCTAATATAATGTGCCAGAAAAACTAAGTCTGGTTTTAAAAATTATTTCAGCAACTGCCCATAGATATTGTTGAATGTAAATTTAAAACAGATGACGGGGTTTGGGTGGTCTCCATGAAGTCTGGACTGTGGGATACCATGTTTAAAAAGGAGCATCAAAACAATTCAGGGAAATGTTTACATGCCAGAAATGGTTGGGTAGCAGTGGAATGACAAATGAATGGCCCAGACCTGAATTTTCATTAAAAAGCAAGATGTCTAAACTGAGACTGTTATACTTTGGATATACCATGAGACAATAGTACTCATTGGGAAAAAGTTATAATCATACTTATAATCAAAAAGATTTTAAATTGCAACATCACCTTCCAATCAAAGAAGTCTCAGGTCTCAGGTTTTTGTAGGATTTATTTATTTATTTATTTATTTATTGTGTCAGAAGCAAAATGACCACAAAGTTAAAAAACTTGGCATTTTACTAAATTTCCTTTGACCTGAAGCTGGCCACTTCACGTGCCTCTGGTGTCACTGTGAGAAGGTCCTCCATTGTGTTTGTGGCAGGGCTCAGGTTGCATTGTAGTCAGTAGTCTGTGGTTTGCTCTCCTCCACATTCGCATGTCATGGAGTTCACTTATACCTCAATTTCTTAAGGTTGGCTCTGCATCTCATGGTGCCACAACACAGTCTGTTCAGTACCTTCCAAGTCACCCAGTCTCCTGTGTGCCCAGGAATGAGTTTCTCACCCAGTATCAGCCACTGATTGAGGTTCTGGGTTTTAGCCTTGCTTGCTGAGGCGTTACTGCAAGTATCTCTGTAGATCTTAGGAAACTATTTCTTAATTTAAGACGTTGGCATGCTGGCTGATATCCGAACAGAGAATGGGACAGACATGTCAGTGCCTTGGTCCTTTCATTACTGGCTGCTACTTCCTGACAGATATCAGGTGGTGCAATACCAGCTAAACCGTATAATTTCTGCAGCTGTGTTGGGCATAGATATCCTGTGATAATGTGGCATGTCTCTTTAAGAGCAACATCCACTGTTTTAACATATTGAGATGTATTGCACACTGAGCATGGGTATTCAGCAGCAGAGTAGCAAAGTGTAAGGGCAGATGCCTTCACTGTATCTGGTTGTGATCCCCAGGTTTTGCCAGTCAGGTTTTGTATGATGTTATTTCTAGCACCCACTTTTTGCTTGATAGTCGATTACGTTTTGTAGAATGTGATGGCTGGGGTTCTTAAAGGTCCCTCATTCATAGGGTTTCTGTAAGTAGAAAGCTTACAGAAAGCTTCTGTAAGTTGAAAGCTCGACAGAAAATTACAACAAAGAAAAGGAAATGAAAGGATAGATGTAAATACCTTGGGGAAGTTGATTTGGGCAGTTACTTCTCCCAGAATCCTCCAGCCATCATTACCAGTTGGAACCCAAAAAGTTTTAATCCACAAATATTAACTGAGAATAGATGTACCCCATTGTTTTGGCATAATAAACGAAATGCTTAAAATCTTATATCAAAAAAAATAAAATAAGACATAGGCTGGAAAATAAGAGTTTTCAAATGAGATGAAGGCGGAATGCCAGAAACATTGTTTTTTATGGTGCGCACAGTACATTTTCATTTTTTTCTGCTCTTTGAACAGTGTATGCAGGCTTTTCAGCAACACACAATCTTGCACAATTTGGTGATGAAGTTAATAGTGGGATCTGTGTGCAAAGCAACAGGCAATTATGATTCTATAAAACCATCCTCCAAGGTCCAAATTATCATGATTTGCCCATGCACAGATGTTCTTGCTTTCCAAAAAGTTTTAGAGATGAGGAAGAGATATGTTAGATGGTGGCATGGGAAAGTGTAACCTTTTGCCTTCACCATTGTTCTAATCAAACCAATCTTCCCTGTCCCTGCTACTGGTGATGGAAGAAATGTTTCTGTTTTCAAGGCTGGAAAGCAAAGACCTACACATGAACATTATTATATTGAAGTCTATTTATGTTTTGGAAATATGGTCAGCTTATATTGATGCACATGCCCAGCACTTGTTTATATTCTATGTACTTCCCCTCTGTTGTTTTCCTTTCTTCTTCTTCTCTCATTATTTTTTATAGATAGATAAATCAGGAGCAAAGCTGACATTTCCACCGTGGAATATGTAAGCACACTTAAACTATAAGTTTAGATGTATTTACACAGTAAGGCTGATGGCATTAGTTAATAATTGACTTGTACATTCTTACTTGGAAGTAAGTGATGCCCAATATTTCAGTCTGAGAGCACATGCTCCCTTCTGACTTATGTCAACTTTACTGCCTCTCATTTAGATCCAATCAAGAACCATCTGATCCCCTTCGTGATGGAGTACGTAGATATCTTCAGCTCCCATCTGACTGGACTGTGCTGATACTACATGCAAAAGTTGCTCAGAAATCATATGGCAATGAAAAAAGGTAGGAAACTATCTTGGCCTTCTTGTTGATACCAGATTGCCACAGGAGACTCTGCAAAAAAAGAAAATAAACAAGTGCATGGGTATTTGTTTGTGTGTTGTTGTTCATTCATTCAGTCATCTCCGACTCTTCGTGACCTCATGGACCAGCCCACGCCAGAGCTCCCTGTCGGCCGTCACCACCCCCAGCTCCTTCAAGGTCAGTCCAGTCACTTCAAGGATGCCATCCATCCATCTTGCCCTTGGTCGGCCCCTCTTCCTTTTGCCTTCCACTTTCCCCAGCATAATTGTCTTCTCTAGGCTTTCCTGTGTCCTCATGATGTGGCCAAAGTACTTCAACTTTGTTTGTGTGTACCCTACATGAAATGAATTGTGAATCTTGATTTTTCTATTATTGTCCGTGCATAGCTTTCCTACTCAGACTCATCTTGTACCATCATCTGATCTGGGAAGTTTGTCAGAATTTAGAGAAATTGTTTCCATGCTAAAGTTCCCTAAATACCCTTCCATCTATGGGAATACTTCATCAGGAGTCAGACCACTGAAGTCCAAAACACTTGCGGTCCCAAGCATTTTGGAGAAGAGATACTGAACCCATAGAAGCTGATGTCCATGGTGATGTCTTATCCATGGAACAGTGAATCCAGGTATTATTTCAAACCTGAAAGGAGCTATCCGAGGTGCCCTCTAAACTCACTTTATCACCTTGTTTAGCTCTGTTAAAATTCAAACTAAAACTTGGAGTGGGTTCACTGCACTTTTATGTCCTATCTTTAGACCAAGACATTCTATGAATGGAAGTACAATCAACCCGTCATAGTTCCTCTGTTTGGTATGATTGGAAGCTACTCTAGCTAACCATTCCGTGACACAAAGTGTTTTCAACAGCTATGGCTGTGTGGTTTTTGCAAGTAGTGGAGAAAATCAGTTTAAACATTACCCTAAATATGTAGGTTTAAAGTTTAAATAAATCAGTACGGACCCTGCTCTGCAACTAACATCCTCAAAAATACCACTACAACTCAAGCATATAAACCACCCATTCTGACTGTTTTATTCTTAATGTTTTATGCACCAATGCTGCATGAATTCTAGCCATTCATGTGGGTTTAAAGACAGTGGAAACCCAAATAAAATACCGGAAAACATGTTTCTAAACTTTTGGACCTCAGTTTATTTGTGTTGGTATAAGGATCTGGCTGTGAATATAAACGCTGTTCTCAACCTGTTGGATTTCCACATTCCAGGTTGAGAAAGTCACAAGGACAAGTTCTCTATGTGTTCAAAGAGCAATTATGAAGTGGACACTCTGCATCCTACATAATCTCCACCACCTTCAATAAGGCAGTATTGGTATTTTCACCTTCTAGCTCAGGAATGAGGAAAACATAATTCTCCAGACTGTATCTCTCACTATTGGCTGTGTTGGGAGATGAAAGTTGTGGCCCAGTAACATCTGGAGGACCACAAGTTACTCTCCTTTGCCAAAGAACCTCCAATAGTTGTATTATTGTAATCTACTTGGAGGATGTCTGTGCCCAGAGAAAAGGAAGGCATTTGGATGGATGGATTAATTGATTGATTTATTATTATTGTTTCAGGCAATGTCTGAAGCAGAGACATAACTTGGAAAAGTTAGTGGTTGAGACTAAAACATGACCATTTGGGGGATTCTGGGAGTTGTACTTCAAACAGTTTTCTGAGCTCTGATCTCTAATCATACCAATCGCACTGTCCAATCACTCTATAGAAGTCCTATTGAAGCCATTGACTCAATTGGAATTAGCCATGCATTACCTCACCATTCAGCAACAAATTGAAAGGGTCTATTCTAGCTGGGGTTCACCAACCAGATTCTAGCTATCGTGGTAGTTGGAGAAAGAATCCGTGAAGTTAGAATCTATGTTCTTTCCAAAGTCACTGTTTATACTGTAGTAGCTTGTCTGCTCCAATTCAAGGTTTCTGTTTTTAGAAACGTGCTTCTGATTTTCAAAATGATACACTAATTTATATTTCATCATCAGATATTACATATGATGAGGATCTAGTTGAAAGGATTTCAACAGGATGTTTTGCCATTTCATCTACATTTAAAATTGAGATGAACTACTGATTGACACAGGACAAAAAGCTCTCCAGCATCAGCTTCCTGACTATAAAATTGTTTTTTTTTCCATTTTGAGAAATATGTAAATGAAATAAGAGGTAAACATGAATAATTTTTTTGCAGAGTTAAATGTGATATCATTCATAAAATAAAGAGACGTATTTTGGTCCAGAGTTCTCCAGAAGAATAAAAACTCAGAGATTGCTCCACTGATAAAATATTTGATTTTATTGATAGATTTTTCTGTCCACCACCTTGTGTTTACCTCACTGGACCAGGCTGGAAAGAAAAGAAGGAAGAGATTAAAGGTATGGCCAGGGTGGAAGCCATAGGGAGGATGTTACTGATGTTACTGACTGAATGTATTCCACAGGGAATCAGAGAAGCACATTTCAACCTCCAGTGGCAAAAAGAGAACTTACACTACACCACGATAACAATAATCCCATGTAAACTTTCATGGATCAATTCTGAGATTTGTAGTTTGAGAAGGCACTTAGAATATGTGCATTATATTTCTAGTAGAAGAGAGCAGGACTACAATTCCCAGAATTCCATGGATGGAACCATGGCATTTTAAGTGGTATCAGATTTCTGTAACTCTGTAATGTAGATACACCAAGAGTCTAGGTTTTCAGAGCCAGGGGAGAGCACCCAACATTTTAACTATAGTGATGACCAATGCCATCCAAAGTGGCCACCACCATCTTCACTTCAGTCTCCATTAATTGTGTTCTTTACTTCTTCTAGGATGGGAAAATAAAAATCATGATTAGAATTCCTTCACAGCTCCAATATTCAATATAACCCCATGGATGTAATATCCAAGTGAATATCAGAATCAGTTTCATGAATATTTCTCAGCTGATCAGCACCAAACTTCCTTGCCAAGCTAAATGGAAAAATATTTRCAAGATCTTGGTCATGTGAGACTTACATATATTGTGTAGCTACATCTCCATAGCATTCCATGCAGTGCAGCAGTTCATGGATACTGGGGGGGGGGGGGCTCTGTGAGACCCAAAAATGATGTTGGGCTTCACAGAGACCCCCCCCCCCCAGTGGTCCACAAGCCACTTTTGTCACCTGCTATAATCTGAACTAAATTATGTATTTCTGAATATGCATCTATTTGCARATCTTTTGATGCATCTTTCATGGTTCTGCTCATATACAGTATCTGTACAAAGGATTTACTCTTATGTTCTGCTCTAAGAATTGCAAAGCTGAGAAAATTTAACAGCAATAGACTGAAGACATTGGGAAAGAAACAAAGTAACTCTTCCTTTACTTATAAATCATATATGAATTATTAGGGTGATGCTAGCTTATCTTAAGTGCTATATGTGTTATTCCCTGGCCTTATCCATCTAGCCATACAGCAATAATAGTAAAAAAAGCAAGCAAAACTTTCTTTGAAATTGTACAACCTTGACTCATGGATTCCTCTTTATATGCATGGCAACTTCCAGGTTCTAGAGTTCATGGTCTTGGAAGTATGTCCCTGGAAGTTAGGAACAGTATGTCCTGGTCTTGGAAGTATGTCCCTGGAAGTTAGATCTTTTATTATTGATTTAACCGTCTGTAATAAGACAATGTTTTCTACTTACCCTGCACTCACATTATGAGCATTCTAAAGCACTGTGCTTTTGCCAAGCTCCATTCCAAATCTCAACAGTTTGATTGCTCGGCTGCATTATCATATATCTCATGGTGTACTGAGGTGGCGATCATTACTCTGAACCTCAGAGTTTCAGCTACATTAATGCTTCCACTTTGGCAAGTTCCTCTCTCAGGCCCCTTCCACACAGCTGAATAAAATCCCACATTTTCTGCTTTGAACTGGAATATATGGCAGTGTGGACTCAGATAACCCAGTTCAAATCAGATATTGTGGTATTTTCCACCTTGATATTCTGGATTATATGGCTGTGTGGAAGGGCCCTCTGACCCTTCAAACAGGGATAGAAGAAGGGGTTTATTAATACTAGTTTAATTTAGGGATTCCCATGAAGACTGCAGTTTAATAATGTTTAGGAAGTCCTTTGAATATTTGGAGCACAGGACTGCTGGGTAAGTAGGAAAACTCCAAATAAAAAACCCATAATTTTTTAACCTGAGATACTCCCTCTTTAGAAATCTTTACATTCTGCAGGGCAACTCTGTGGTCAACTTCTACAGAAGATCTTTCTAGGAATCTCTAGATCTCCTAATGTGAGTTTGTGGTCAACATCCACTGGAAGTTGACCATAGAATTGCCTTGGAGGCTCTAAAAATTCCCAGAGAACTGTTATCTCTAGAAATCTCAACGTCTCCTAGAAGCTGACCATAGAGTCATTCTGGAGGACCTAGAGATTTTAAAGATATTAATCAAATCTTCAAATAATCAAATCTGTAAAAGTTAAACTGGAAAGTGTGGGTACAAAGATTAACCACCTTATCACAAATTTCCCAGTCATAAGACACTTCAGCCTCTATTCAAACATGGAGAAGCACTGAGCTAATCACGTGAGTTAAACTACTTCTGGCAGTCATGCATAGCCCTCCATCATTGAAAAGAGGCAGAAATATCCTGAAAGGAGGGAACTCTGGCAATCAACCTCATCACATTGAGAAATTTCCCCCTTGTATGACACTTCAGATTCTTTTGAAGCATGGAAAGGCATGGAGCTCATCACATGTTCCATAGTTGAAAAGAGGCTGAAATGTCTTTCAAGGAGAGGACTCAGAACATGGGCCAGCAATCATGTTCAGAGCTCCTACTTCTTATCACACTTTACAACTGAACAACAGGTATGATGGGAACTATCAAAGTTTCCTGTCAGTTTCATTGCCCAACTGTCAGCAGCCTCTTGTATCCTCTGGGGTTCGAGGCAGATCAGTAGGATCCCATGGAAAGCAATGGTTTTAACCTGGATCATAGCCTCTCGTATCCTCTGCTGTGATGGTGCATGGCAGACCCCATCCAAGCCACAAAACAAAATGGCAGAACTGGACTAAAATACCCCATGTGAAGAGGTCCAATGTGATGAGGTCATAAGATTAGTATTATTCTCCTATTTACTGCCATCCAGCCTAAGTTGTCCACTCTTGAATTCTCAATTCTTCCAGCTGCCTACTAAGGGACTTCTGCACCTATCAATCCTATCCAGCAAAGTTAATGGTATGGGGACTGGATTTCACCATCACCTGAAAGGCCATACGTTGGTTGTCCTTGATCTAAGCCATGCACAGTTAGTGTTTGTACTTCCTTCACTTAGCCTAAGCCTGTCCATGTTTTTCCGATCAGTCTTGGCAAAAGGTCAAGAAGACTCAAAGAATCTAGAGAAGTATGTATATAGATCAAAGTTTATTTTGGCCTCTCTTTCCTATGAGACTTGACATTATTAACTATAGTGGGCACACAGAGTAATCCACACCTCAAGGGTGGCCTGAAAAAACACCACAAAACTACCTGGAGCTGTTGGGCTGCAATTTGTGGTGCTAGCTACAGAAAATGTGTCCAGACTGAAGAGAAGGTTTTACAGTCTTAAGATTCACTGACACATCAAGGGCCAGAGTTAGCTGATTGTGATACAAACAGTAGCATTGCATTTAAAACTGGAGATCTGAATATATACTCTGAGTTATAGGGGACTTCACACTCTCTTTTGAGATGGGGAGAAAACCTGAAATGTTCTGACCTCAAATAAACTTTAGTTAGGAATCTTGGAGAGTTATCAGTCATCATTTGGACCAGGATGATCTGGTTGATGATGTGTACAAATATGAAACATGCAAATGCAGGACAGTTTACCTTTCATTGAGCTTAACAGAGATAATTTGAAAACTACATAGATCAGGCATAGGCAGACCTCGGCCCTCCAGATGTCTTGGACTTCAACTCCCACAATTCCAAACAGGCTGATAGGAATTGTGGGAGCTGAAGTCCAAAACAGTTGGAAGGCCTAAGTTTGCCCATGCCTGATATAGATGAACATTAGGTCTGATCAGCTATTCCTCTGTTGTACATTCATAAGACAGAAGAGTTGCTTTAGTCCAATTTCACAATATAAGATAATAAGTAGCATGGCTCTGTTCTTTTTTCTCAGTTCTCTTCCATTATATCACAAAGAAGAGAACTTGAAAATCTTCACAATCATAAAGTTACCATTCAAAAATGTAACAAAAGCTTTGAAATCTCCAGAAAGGAAGATTTTGGCATGTGATTTAATGGCTATAAGCCCACTTTATCAAATGCAATATAAAGTGATATTAAAGCTTCAAATATAAAGCATATTTAGGCAGTTGTGGAAGAGGAATGAAATTTGATAGTTTCTAGAAAAATGTGAATAATGTCCCTTGTGCGCAATTTTCAAAGGGCTGGGTGAGATGATACAGATCTTTCAGATCTTAACAGGGCTCATTATATATATTGTATATTGATATTTAAAAGCAGTAAATCTGCATAGCAAAAGTCCATTTCCATGAGATCAAAACTCTCTCAGAGAAAATTCCTTTTATTACATGTTCCTCTATGTTTTGATTCAATTTTGGCAATGGGAGTAGAGTTTCATGGGTGGCTTTCTTGTGGTGTCTCTTTTTGGGATGTTGTGTAGCACATACAGTGCAGGGTAACTAGCAACCAAGAAAGAGAAGGAAGGGGAGGACCTGTAGCAGCATTAATTTGTTTTGAATCAATCTATAAATCAATTGGTACGCTGTATTTTCCATCCTTGATTTTGTCCCCCAGATTGGCTAACACACAATTTGTACATTCTGGGGGGAGGAGTTGGACAAAGAATTGACCTGGAATTTGTTTATGCCACAGCTTGGAATATTACTATTTAAAATATGCTAGTTGCGTTATTTATTATTTTAATTTCCCCAAAGGCGGCAGACACCTTTCTCCTGCTGCAATTCTGGTTTGCCAGTCTTGTGCGATAAAATCCTTAATGTTAAAAGAAGTAAAACAAAAAGCTCCCTAATAGCACTTTTGCTGACGCTATATGGGCCTGCTCAGCATCTGTATGTACACCTGCCTTCAGCTCTGAGGGAAGAACAGAACACTACAAATATAATAAAATATGCATACATGTTCCCACAGCTCACTACACTTTCCCCCTTTCACATAGTGCAAGGATGAAAACAACCCAGGAGTGAGTGACTTGTGTTTCATGTTTTCTGAATTTGTTGCTGTTATTTCTTTTCTTTCACCAGCCAAAGATCTAACAGAGTCTGGTTCCAAGATATGTGGATACATAGGACTTGACAGCATGGGCAGCAGCCACGTGGAGACCCTGAAGCTAAACTTTGAGGAACAATCAGACTCCAAGGTAAGCTGCCTAATGTGGCCCTGTTGGGGTCAGATTTGTAAGAAGTATTTACTATGATACATTTTCTCATGCTAGATCTCTGTGCTAAAGGTATTCTGATCTGTCTTTCCAGGTAGCTATTTGCTTATCAGCCAAAAAAGGAAATAGCTGAGCAAAATGATCAAAGGTCTGGAAGGCAAAGCCTATGATGAGTGGCTTAGGAAGCTGAGCATGTGTAGACTGGAAAAGGGAAAGTTAAGAGGGGACATGATAGCCATGTTTAAATTTTTGAAAGGGTATCATACTAAATATGGACCCTGTTTGTTTTCTTGCTGCTCAAGAGACTAGGGACCTCATCACATGATCCTTAATGTGGAGAATCACAGAATCATAGAATCAAAGAGTTGGAAGAGACCTCATGGGCCATCCAGTCCAACCCGCTGCCAAGAAGCAGGAATATTGCATTCAAAGCACCCCTGACAGATGGCCATCCAGACTCTGATTAAAAACTTCCAAAGAAAGAGCCTCCACCACACTCCAGGGCAGAGAGTTCCACTGCTGAATGGCTCTCACAGTCAGGAAGTTCTTCCTCATATTCAGATGGAATCTCCTTTCTTGTAGTTTGAAGCCATTGTTTCGCGTCCTAGTCTCCAGGGAAGCAGAAAACAAGCTTGCTCCCTCCTCCCTGTAGCTTCCTCTCAAATATTTATACATGGCTATCATATCTCCTCTCAGCCTTCTCTGCTTCAGCTAAACATGCCCAGCTCCTTAAGCCGCTCCTCATAGGGCTTGTTCTCCAGACTCTTGATCATTTTAGTCGCCCTCCTCTGGACATATTCCAGAATCCATAGGACAGTGGCAAAAATTGTGGGGCAGCAGGGTGAATCTGTCACCAGCACCCAGCATCACCCACATCACCTGTTCGCCCATTACACACTAAAAAGTGTATCTTTGCAGATTGCCCCTGCACTTCAAGTGCTGGGTTGTTGTAGGTTCTTTGGGCTGTACACAAAACAACAATACATAAGCATATAAAACAATGACCACACATAAAACCACATCTAATAAAATTATAAAGTTTCAAATTGAAGGAAAAAAGATTCCACCGAAACATTAGGAAAAATTTCCTGACAGTAAACATTATTCAACAGCAGAATATGCTGCCTCTGAGTGTGATAGAGTCTCCTTTTCTGGAGGTTTTGTAAAAAGAGGCTGAATGACTGTCAAAGTGCTTTAATCTATGGCAGGGAATTGGACTGGATGGCCTTTGTGGTCTCTTCCAACTTTATGAATCTATAAAATACACTACCAGAAAGGGGGCATGCAGTTGTATAAAATCTGTTTTTGTCAATATGCAAACTTATGACTGGAAGTCATATGATAGATATTCAACACATCTCAACACAGAAGGATTGACCTTGACCAAGCATCCAATATACCTGTTAACTACTGATTGATAATTCCAAAACTCTTGTATTCCCTTCTTAAGAGTTATTGTTACTTAAATAATTTGGACTGGATAGACATGCAGTTAAATGGTGGCTTCAAACAGGGAACTCCCTTCTTCAGTCCCTTTAAATAAGGCTTTGTCTTCTGTATAGCAGGATATACTCTATTACCATTTAGGATTTTTATGTTCYTTCTTCCTAAAACTGCTGCTTTTTCCTGTCTTCTGAAATTTCCAGTGATTTGGGATATGATCCAGAAAAAATACATTAATTCCTAATGGAGAGTGAAACACATGCCTAATCCAATACATATGCTTAACATTTTAACTCGACGTGATATTAAAGTACTTAATGTTCATTGGTTTATGTGTGCCCTGCCCCACACATGCTATTTTTGAAGCAATTTACATTTAGTGAAATCTTTTACATCTCATACATACAATTCACAGTAGAAATTGATGTATTCCTTGTAGWGGGCAATGGAACAAGCAAATATGGCCTTGTCAGCCATTATGAAACGATGCAGAACATTTCCTTGAATTCTAGTTRTGTGGTAAACATTAAGACAAGCRYTAGCCTCAAAATCACATYGTAACATTCTACAAAATGAAAAGCACAGGGGAAATAATTGCTACCAGGTACTGAAGAAAAGTCATCCTTATCCAGCAGGTGGATAAGGATAAGGTGAATCGCAACACATGATTCCACAATGCGTGGGAAAGAAAACAGAAACCCAAACATTTACCTTCCACATGCATTAGATGGTGCTGTGTCTATGGCTGAATCCACACTGCAGAATTATGGCAGTTTGACCCTACATTAACTATCATATCTCAATGCTATGGAATTCTGGGATTTAAGATATTTACTCTTCTCTGTCAGAGAGTTCTGGTTCCTCAACAGATTACAAACCTCAGGATTCATTTGGGTTTTGCAATGGCAGTTAAAATGGTGTCAAACTGCTATAATTCTGCAGCATGGATGGTCTCCCAGACTGATAAGGCTTGGAAAAATTACTCATGAAATTCTAGCTTCTAGAACTCTGCACTTATCAAGCATCTGCCTCTACTGGCTGGTGAGTTCTGAGCTGTGCAATGATCAAAGCAACCTTTCTCAGCTTTGACCCATTGTGCATGACAAGAGGTGTGCATGTTAGAAGAGAGCAAGTAGCATGTAATGCATGTAATTCATGCAACCCAGCCAGTCTGATTCTCATTCGTTCTGCATAGAGTATAGCTGGAAATCTGCCTTTCCATCCGTCCTGTATTATGCTGAGCAATGTTGAGGCTTATTCCATCTCAGGGACAAACTAGATATGACATTAAATGCATCTCTGCATTTCATATGCACTTTAAAGAGTGTAAAACTGCAAATGGGGGAGCAACTAAGAATTATGATCTTACCAGAGTGGCAGGAAACTGTGGCTAAGGACTAATTGTTCATCTCTCAGACTCTCTAGGAGTTGCATGGACTGCCAAAAATGGCAGTACATATTTTAAACTCAGTACCAAAAGTGATGAGAAGTCCATATTTAGTTTTTAAAAACTGGCATTTTCATGTTACGTCATGTGTGCTGCCTTTGTAAAGGGTGAATTGTCACTCCTGAAGGCTAGTCATATTTTACAGCTAAAAGGGGGAAATTCGGGTAGTTAAAAGAAATTGGAGTGTGTGTGGGGGGGGGGGGGGAATCTAATTGAAAATCCTTCTTATAAAATTGCTGTGAACACTGGAAGGAAATTGCAGTGCAAACAGCATTGAGGAGGAGGGAGAAAGAATTTAAATGACACGTGCAACAAATACATGAACTACCATAAGATAACTCTTGCTAACCCATTCCAAACCTCTGGGCACTCAAATAGGTTTGGATATGATATGGAATAGAATACACCTCCATAGAGAAATTGTGTTACAGTTGAGGCACCACAACAAAGGGATCTCTCTACCTTGTGATCCCATAATGAACCATGAGAAGAACCTCCCTGGTGATTCTTAAGCATCAAAAGGCTAATAAATGCAAATGGATATTTAAGCCTCTAGCACAGTGATTCTCAATTGTGGGTCCCCGGGTGTTTGGGCTTACAACTCCCAGAAATCCCAGCCAGTTTACCAACTGTTAGGATTTCTGGGAGTTGAAGACCAAAACACCTGGGGACCCACAGGTTGAGAACCACTGCTCTAGAGATAAGTACCACTTTATAACCCACTTGCTAGAAATCACATGTATCTCATATGCTTCTCTCTAAATAGAGGCCAACATGGCTCAATTTTTTTTAAAAAAAAAGTTACACAGTTTTGCTGACCTTAAGAAATTGAATAAGTGAATTTGAAATACCTTTCCAGGCATACTCCACAATCAAATATTACATCTGAATGTGGTGCAAAGTTGACATGACAAGGCTTGCACTATTTTCCCTCCTTCCCCTTTTGGATTCCTTATGCACAGTGTCTCTTTGGAACAAGTCACCAGAATATTAACATCAGATTAAAAAGACGGGGGGTAAGCTGCTATAAATAAACATGGTGTCATTGGAACACCAAATGATTTACCATTAATATGACTTTAGGCAAACAAAAAATCTGACATCTTAATGTGTGCTTACCCAGAAAGGCTGCTGAAGCAATGGACCCAGTATTGGAAATTACAAGTCCCTAAGGAGGTTGACCAGTGCCTTCAACAGGAAAAGGCAACACCCATTTAGATTGTAAATTTCTAGTAACTTGATGGGAGGAAGATTCTTCATGGGTCAAGCCCATGTTACTCAAGAGACTAAAAAGCCTTTGATTATAGCCTTTGGTTGCTTGAATGGCTTTCACATTCAAGTAATGGAAATTTACAGGGAGTATGTTCATAGACAGGCACTCAGTCCTTTGAATGAAGTCTGGCCTAACTTCATGCAGCACATTGGCAGATACTATATGGTGGAAGAAATTGAGACACTTGTGTGCAAAACCCATTACAAGAGCCTCCCAACTGCCTTTGAAAAGATGGCAATTCACTTCCCACGCAAGGCTGTTGTGCTATCAGCAGCTGGCTCATTGGCTCTGCCTCAACAAGACATTGTGTCATTTGTTATATTGCCCTGGAAGTTTGCATCTCAAACTATTTAAATTTTCCTTATGCAGAACTGTCAGCAATGGCCTGTTATGCTTTGATTTTCTGTGAAGAACTTTTAATATGTTTAAAACTGGTTTCCTTTTGCAAGTTCGTGACCTCTTTTGGACAAGTTTTCCGCCCCTATTTTAGGCTGCTGTCTAGAACATTTGGCCTTGTATTACTTTTTTTTATCTCATTCATAGTCTTCTTCAGTCTTCTTCAGCCTTCTTTTTGTGCTTTTTCTGCAATGAAATTTATCTCCTAGTTGCTGTTCATCTTCTTTTATAAATGAAGGAGAAGGTCTGATCTACATCAGGGGTTGGGCAAAAATATCACTAGAATTGCTGAACTGCAGCACACAGTGATATCTGGACTTTACCTACCAAGGATAACAATGGAAATATGATTAGGTCTAGGCCTGCGTGGATGTAGATGTCAACATATTATTAGACTAAAGAATGTAGGCTAATAGCAAAAGAAGTTCAGATTTTAACAGTGTGGACTCCGCGCAGTCACTTCGTATATTTTAGTACTAGTCTAAGATTCATTAAGCATGAATTTACAGATCCAAGTGTCACACAGGTTGACATTCATTGGGCAATTGCATGCTTGTGTGCAGGTCTTTATTGAGCCCATACAAACTCTGTATATGAACTTCACAACATTGGGGCAGGAATTTGAGCTCCCTCTAAACATGGGGACTGAACCCAAAAGAAGAATCTGGGAAATATGTCACCTAGATGGGTTGTTGTGTGTTTTCTGGGCTGTGTGGCCATGTTCTAGAAGCATTCTCTCCTCATGTTTTGCCTTTATCTATGGCAGGCATCATCAGAAGTTGTGACCTCACAACCTCTGAGGATACCTGCCATAGATGCAAGAGAAACACCAGGAGAGAATGCTTCTGGAACATGGCCATACAGCCCGGAAAACACACAACAACCCAGTTATTCCGGCCATGAAAGCCTTCGACAACACATTGTCACCTAGATTCCTATGTAGTGGAATCTCCTCAGATATTATCAATCAGAAGTGTTCTAAATGGCCAAGAGCTAAGGAGTACACAGTGATTATCACTTAGCCCTCCTAGGAATAACAAAGACTGCAATGTCATCCATCCTAATACATTTACTCAGGAGTAAGCTATACTGAACTCATGGAGAGAGTGTCTAAGTACACATTGTGCTTTTAAGACTCCTTTCAGTGATAATGATAATGTTTCAGTGATAATGGATGGGGTAAGTAATTTGTCCTCTTCCTTCATCTGCAAATAGGCAAGACTAATAGAAAGCTGCCTGCCAATTTTGAGCACTGAGTCAGGGACCAGGTGCAGTTTCATCTTATGTGGAATCTTGGAAGCTATCATGGGATGCTTACAGAACACACCAATCAGGAAGATAGACAAGAACTTCATTGAACCTCTCCAAAAGGAACAGAATTGTCTTGACTTCACTCAAGTATCATCAAATCTAGCACCACCTACTGACTTAACTATATGAAGGGACTATCCACACCCAACAGTTTCCAGAAGACAATTCTTTTTTGTGTTGACCTACAGCATTCTTGGGTTCATCTGCTTTTTATGCCGATTGTTTATTCTCTCATATCACCCTCTTCTGTCATATAGAAGCCAAATAAAAGTCAGGTTCCCAGTGGCTTCAAAGAAAACCATCTGTCTTCATTGCTGCCTTTGTCTTTCCACAGCTGGCTGGCTGTGGTCGGTGGTCTGCCAGGGATTACACAGCTTGCAAAGCAGTAGGAATCTGCTGATGAACGTTGATGCTTGTTGCTGCCAAATGAAAGTGCCTTCTTCCATTAGCAGAGAAGTAAGAGGGGTGGAATCTCAATCCTAAACAGTCCCCAAAGTTCAAGAGTGGGAGTGACAGCTTGGCACCCTTTTACAGAACAAAAATTTCTGTGGCATTATCTTGAGCCTTGGAAGAATGCAAGAACCAAGAGCAGGCCAGAGAAGCTACAGAAAGAACCTTTGTACTTGCAGTGCTTAACTCATTGTAAAGCAAAGCCTATCAGAACAGAAGGAGCGCCAAGATGACTGGGAACTGTAAACTTAGGAGATTCCTTGCACTGTGCTGAGTAAATTGCACATGAATGTTAATTTCGATTTGGATTTCTTTAACCCCAACATAAATAAAGCCTTCCCCATCCCCAACTTTCTCATTCCACCTGTAATAACATCTCTAATCACATTTCCCTTTAAGTGAACCTCAAAGGACTCTGAAAGGGGACCATTATGACTTCTTGTAAGGGCTGCATTTTCCCACATTTCAGTCTTGCTGGTGACAAGCTGAGCTAATAGCAGCTCCTGCTGATACAATTCTGCATGAAATGGTCCTATGAAGTGATCCCTTACAAAGTTGTTTCTATATTATTATTTTTCTAGATTTTTTAACACAAACACAACACACACAGACCCCATTCAGTGAATTTTGCTACTTTCTTTGTGGCCAGATCACTCCATCAAGGTTAGGGGCCTTCTTACACTGTATGACTGTTACTGAAAACAGCTAACCGCCAGAAATTGCAAGTGAGGATAAGTGCCCAGCGAGCACCACTATATTGACATCAGGATCAAGGAGATATACCTGGCGAAGGCAGCAGAAACAGCCTGGCCAGATGAATGTCAGAACAAAATAATCACTAAAAGAACCAACATAATCCATACAGAGAAGTGCAGCACATTTTATACATTTTGACAGTTATTCAAACCTCCTGCTCCCTCCACTCATTGGTCAGGAATTGTGCCTCCCCAATCTGCCTTCCCATTGGCTGAGGTTTCCTGTCTAGATTGGAAATAATGTTTATTTGGCACTAATGGACTTTGGAAGCTTGGGATAATTTCTTCAGGAAGAGTGAGGCTTAGGAATCTGGAAAATCAATCAAGTGGGTAAATAAAGTTCTTGATGAGTCCTGAAGGTTGTTGGCCATCGGTCTCCCAGCAGGAAGTCCCTTCACCCACTGGAAGAATCGATGTTGTTTCCCAAGACCGGCATGTAGTCCAAAGTCACACAAGCACTACACAATCTTAATAATGATATATGATAACCTTGAATCCAGTGTGTCTTGCACTGGTTCACTGTATCACAGGGATTCAGTTGTAGAAACAGAATGGTAACATATTGGAGCTGGCAGTCCAGCTATGTGAAGATCCGCAATAGCAAAGAACCTAATAGGAAAGGAAAGAGATAGCACAGCGGACCCAGTGGGGATAGCCGGGTCTGTTTGTTAATTAAAGAAAGGTGTTATTTCTTGTAGATATTATATTGGGGCTTCTTGGGATGGCAGGGCTAAGGGAAATTCAATTACAATTTAAAAGTATACATTTTCATCTTACCATTGGCTTTAATCTTTTTCCCCCAGGATTTTGAAAACCTTTTTACTTGTGATGTCAGTGAGATGAATGTATATGCCATGGGAAAAAAATATTTCACGATATCATTGTCAATGTAAAATAAACCAAATTCTTTTTATAACCACCAAATATGTGAAGTATACATAATGTCCTTTGAAGTGGGTATTGCTCATTGCTTTTCACACTGGAAGGAGACTCTGCCAGTAACTGCCACATTGTTTGGGTCTCTAAAGGTGCATCTACACTATCAAATTAATGCAGTTTGACACCACTGAGTGCCATGGCTCAGTGCCATGGAATCATCATTTTACAAGGTCTTTCACCTTCTCTGCCAAAGGGTGCTGTTGCTTTATTTTATTTATTTATTTATTTATTTATTTGACTTGTATACCGTTACCCCCAATTCGGCTCTGAGCGGTTTATAACAGTAGATTAAAACAATACAATTAACTTTAAAATACAATAAAAACAAGAACAGGCATAGTCCTGAGTTATTATAAATACCTGTATTCAATTGCACTGAGTGTTTCAGTTAAAGGGGTGTCAAACTGCAATAACTCTGCAGTGCTGATGCAGCTTAAGTGGCAGAACATAGAAGATTTGGTCTATTTTTGTAGTGGTAGTCATTTGGGCTACAATTACCCTTGCCAGCCTGGCCACTGATCGGTATGATCCAAAACAAGTAGAGGGTTTAGGATTTTCTGTTTTAAGCTTCCCTTTCTGCACTGAGCTTAGAGAATTTTTTTAGGCTCAGTGCCTAGAAAAAAATGTTGCTGACTTCTAGAGTATTGGGCTCTCGCAGAAATATAAATGTTAATGGTTATATAACACACAAAGTGATTTTCTTTGTCTTGGCAAGTCAGACAAATTAGAAAGTGAGAACAAGATAATATTGCTAAAAACTGAATCGGGGAAACAAAGATTTCATCTGAATAACATTCTGTCCCTGTATTCCTTCCTGCGATGACTCAGGATTTGAAATTTTAAACTTTTTATATAACATAATTAATCCATTACTGTTTTCTTTGGCCTTGGGCTGGAATAATGAAATGTATTTAATGATTTTCAAGCAAATGCTGTCAGGTTCAGTTTTCCAGTGAAAGGAAATAGAACACTAGCACTGGGACAGATCTCCACCTGAGAGCCGCTGCCAGTCCAATTAGACAATGATGGGCTTCATGGATCAGGGTAAAAGGAGAAAACACACTTCAGTGATTGGTGCAATATGTTTTTTCTATAGAGAGGTCTCAGGTTCCATCCTTAGTGTCTTTAGTTTACAGGACCAAGTAGTAGATGATGAGAAAGCTCTCAGCCAGTAGAGATGTGTTGTCAGTCAGAGCAGATAGTACTGGTGTAGATGAATACAATGTTTCTGTATGCTATTAATCTGATAGGGGGTGATGCAAATTCATTTAAGTCACGCACCCCCTCATTACTCCAAATGCATAGCCTGGTAAAAATACTTTTAAGTTATAGCTCCCAAAAACTCTCCATGTTGGCTGAGGAATTTGAAATCCAAAGAGGTATCTCTTCTGAGCTCTGGTCACAAGTAAATCTAAAGTACCAACATGGCCTCCTGTGCTAAAAAGGACTAGTTCCAAACCTTCCTAGATTTAGAAAACTGTGGTTAAAGCTAATATAAAACATTTTATGCTGCTTGAATCAAGAAACAAAATTCTCTTCCTCATTCTTTCAAATAATTTCCGATTTATGCCGACCCTCTTGACATTAGATAAAGAGAGTGTGACTTGCCCGAGGTCAGCCAGTGAGTTTTTCATGACCAAGTGGGATCCAGTTAAAACGTATTGCTGTAGATGACAGAACAGCATCTTCCACTTCAAGTAACAGCTGAGAGAGGACAGAGCAGGTTATAAGCCATGCAGCTCTGTTTTTTCTGCATTCCTCTGCATCTGAGACTAGAGGTAGCTGCCTCATGAGGGGGCCACTCTGATGGTTGCACTTTGCTTCAGATCATGCTTTGCACTTGCCAAGAACATAACCAGAAATTATGTTATCTATCTGACTCCTCCTGTCTTCATGCAGTCATGCTTAAAATCAAGCAGCAGGTCTAGTTTCTTCTCCTGACAATTACCCTCTTCAACACAGGAATTCAGTTGTGCCAAAGCCTTGTATATCTCAGATTCTGACAAGAGGAAACACTTCCGGCTGGTCTTGAGGCTCTTCTTCAGCAACGGGCAGGAAATTGGCACTTTCCACAGCAAGCTGATCAAAGTGATATCTAAGCCCTCACAGAAGAAGCAGTCACTGAAGAACACAGACTGTAAGTCCACCTGGGATGGGTGAGTGACCAGAAACAACTTTGAAAAGAAGAATGGGCATCAAGGCATACTGAAAACATTTATAACTGAGTAGTGGTCACTTCAGCATGTGAAACTATGTTTTGATCTTCCTGTAACAAAGATTTTCAGAGTGGCTTGGATTGGAACAGTCTGTTAAGATGCATAGAGACTATAGGTGCGTGATGATTTACAACAAAGCATATAAACCTACATATTTGAACTTTTTTTAGGCCATGATGATGGGGAATAGGGTTGCCTAAGAATTGGAGAAGGTCCTGAGTCCTTAGTGGTTGTGGAGAAGAAGGAATTTCAGTATATGTTGCCTGTTATCTAGTTCCATTGAATTCCCTCTCACTCATAAAAGGTCCAGGAGCTGTCTCTGGTTTTATAAAACTAATAATAATAATAATAATCTTTATTTATATACCGCTCTGTCTCCCCGGGGGGACTCAGGGCGGTTTCCAAGCAACAACATCAAAACATACAAAGTCACAACATGAACAAATATAACAGTAATAGCAACATAAGCATGTAATTACCCAACAACACATAAATATTAAAAGAAAAAAATCCTGCCTGTTCTTCATATCTATTTGTTAAGGCATGGAAAAGGAATGGGTCAGGATAATTAAAATGGCTGGGTCAAGACTGATACAAATTGAAATAAAATGGGACCAGCATTTGGGTACAGTAATGATGTTGCTTTTATTGTTTTTGTGATGTCTTATACTGTTAATGTTTTTTATCTATTATGTCTTATGTATACTGATTTGTTGGAAACCGCCTTGAGTCGCCAATTGGCTGAGAAAGGCGGTATACAAATACAGTAAATAAATAAATAAAAATAATGTAATAGGTAAACGACAAAAGTGGGGATGGGCTATTTCCAGAGGCCTGTTAGGAGAATGACCCAGGGTAATATATAGGTGGCTGGGTCGTGTCCGGACAGTGTCTGGGCTGAGCTTACACTGGTCACTCCAGCAACACTAATGTGGGCTGTCACGAGAAGTCAGAATTGATCACTACATTTCTGCCTATGAAATGAGCTGATTAAATACAAGGATTCAGATCTCCTGCTAGACGGGACCATGGACTCGATGACGTTGAACAATGCTATTAGGATAGAATGGATTAGAGACGGACTGATTTTAATATATAAGATAAAACTACCACATGTAGTCAACCTGGTCACTGAACTTTATTTTTCCTAGTTGACTGACTTCCATTTTCACAGTGTGCATTTCATCTGGATCTAAGGTTTCTCTCTTCAACCGCCTGCGCTCCCAAACTGTCAGCACCCGTTACCTTTCTGTTGAGGGCGATACCTTCACTGCAAGTGCCAGGCAGTGGGCTGCATTTACACTTTATCTGGGTAAGGCTTGCTAATGACATGTTCGATTTTCTCCATTCATGTTGGACACTGGTGATTCTGTCCATCTAGCTTGTGGTGTCACTGTATTCAGTGGATCTTTGCCGATGCGTGGGTGGCAACCTAACCAAAATAAGAGTGGTTGATTCACTTTTGGCCACTAGTCAAATTACTAAAACACATCATTTATAAGCTCATCATTTAAGTTATAAATGGGCTTTGGAACTAAGATTGTCATACAATATTAAAATGTCAAGTGTATGGCAGTTTTATGTGAGGGTGGACATAAATAAATTAAGAAGGGAAGTTACTGTCTATTTACTGAAAATGCCATTGCTCTTGTTGTTATTGCTGTGTTTCTTCAAGTCTTTTCTGCCTTATGGAAACTCTAAGGGAAATTTATCATGAGCTTTCTGGAGCTCAGAATATGTGGCTTGCCCAATATCACCCAATAGGTTTACATGGCTAAGGAATCAAACCCTAGTCTTCAGAATCATAGTCCAGTACTGAAACAATTACAACACACTGGCTCCCTAATTGTTAGGAGTGGGCTGACATTGTGAGATTACTGTCTGCTTAAGGTAGGCTATCTTTTTGCTGATCACAAAGTTCTGATGAAATAAAACTTCTTAATAGGTCAAGATTGTCAAGTGATGTGTATTAATGGGGAGTAATGGGATAAGATTATTCTGTGAGGTGATCTTCCAGAGACTAGCCTTATTTTTAGGCATAACTGTGCCTGCTGGTGTGGAGAGACAGAAATTTCAACTTTCTGGTTATTCTCCTCTATTGGTAGACAAAGTACAATATGTAGTCCAGGCAACTCTTGCATTTCCTTTTCCTAATATTAACTCCTGCCCTCATGAGATGTGAAGGGCGTTGTCTCATCAGCACTGTCAACATATGGGTTCCCTCTTCTATCAGCTTCTTGTAGATGGAGTGTAGATGGGGCACCATCTGATCCTTCACTTCAGATAGCAAAGTAGTTTTGGCCACTCCTGTTAGAACAAGTACACTATGGGACTTTGGAGAAGCTGGCAAATACTTCAGCTAAAGGCAAGAGGAACAGAAAGAAAAGAGAAATATAGAAAGAGGGAGTAGTAGGGATTACAGAATTTTTCCGATGTTTGGTTTATGCACAAATAGGGTGGAAGCAAAGGTAGCAAATATGTATATAGAGCACATGTAGAAACACAATATTCACACTCCTAGTATGCAGGAAGCAGCAATAGCTGCTAACGTATGTTAGGGAGAGATGAATCCACTCCAACTTTCAATCTGAACTTTGAGTGGGTGATCCACTATACTCAGCCCAATTTGGGGTTAGGGTTCAGCAGTGTTGATAATTCTCTTAAAATTCAGAGTAAAACAGAGCAGATTACTACCTCACTGACACAGAAAACACCAGCTGCTGCTGGCAAGAATTTAATCTCTCTCTCTCTCTCTCTCTCTCTCTCTCTCTCTCTCTCTCTCTCTCTTGATGTTCTCTCTCTCTGTATCTCTCATCACCTAGTGGAAAATTATTCTGCAATTCAGTCATACTGATGCAAAAATGAGCAATGGGGACTAAAGCCAGTTCCAGTATTATATTTTGCATGCCATTTGTTTGTTTATTTTCACAACTATTTTATCAATTAAGGACTAATGTTAATTTCATCCCTAACTGTTGGCCACCTTTTAGCTTTTCCCTACTGTTGTTTTTCTCTCTCTTTTATACTTTTGTCAAGCAGATGAGTTTTGTTCTGAATCCAAAGGTGAATTCCTCCTGCGGGAAGGCTACATTCACTATGGGTCCATTGTCCGGCTTATATGCACAGTCACTGGCATGGCACTGCCACCTCTGGTAAGGCTTAGCAATAAACTAGAATGAAAACCATGAAGGAGTATATCCCCACCTTCTAGATAAGCCCCTAAACTCTTTGCTCTGAAGAGTTTCCTCTTACCCAACACAGAATGATTTATCGATGTGAATATCATCCCTTAAGTAAAGGTGTGTGAAGTCGATGGCCTCTTGAACCAATTTTTATCACTGTTCATTAACATTCCATGCAGTTGTCAAAACTGGCATGACTCCCTTTTTCAGAAAGGAGTGAAGACATTTTAAGCTCTGTCCCTGATTTCTATACTTGATTAAAGAGTCGTATCAACCTTCAGATACAGCTGGACTATTGGGCAGCTCCTTGTGTGTGTTATCAAACATTTTCAGGTGATTTATCTGTTGTTAGTTCAGCTGTTTGCTCATGTCCCCAGATCATTCGGAAAGTCACTAAGCAATCGGTGATGTTGGATGTCGATGAGCCTATCTCCCAGTTGCATAAATGTGCTTTCCAGCTACACGGAAGTGATGGGATGTACCTCTGCCTCTCAGCCGAGAAACTGATCCAGTTTCAGGTAATTAAATACAGAAAAGACAGATTTCTCTACCTTTGTAACAGAATGCATTGGAAATCTGTCATGGATAAAATTCACTTTTTAAAATTAGAAGAACAAGCAAGAAGCATGAACCAAAAAATGAGGAACCAGCAACAAGATAATATCAACATCAATGTGCATAGACTGCATTACAGCAGCAGAATGTCACCTGGAATAATCTTTTGTTCAATCCCAACTTATTTGGATAAAATACACTCTTCACACATGCAGTTGCTTATGCTGTATCAAAAAGCCAGCTGTATCAGTTCTTTCTGTCCACATGATCAATTGAGGCTATAAAAGTATGGCAAACATGGCTGTCTTTCATTTTGCATACAGGGGAATCCTATAGCGGATTTACTTAACTGGTGCTTTAAAATGACAGCCTCCTGGAGAGCACCTTTCACGAGCTATTATTTGCACACACACCCCTTCCACTACTGTCCTTGTAAGGGTCCTTGCTACAAAATCTAATTGTAAATCTTTAACCTAGACTGCATCTACTCAAAGCGACACATATTTATGGTAGTTTGAGTCGTCTGGAGATGAAGATTTGGAATCAATTTTTAAAAGGTTTAAGGTAGTGGGCTTTCCAGTTCTCTTGGGCATCTTGCAGGGGCACATGTAGCCTTTTTCCCAACCATGATTTAATCATTAGTATATGAGATAGAGCTACCCTGGAGATTTAGCTAATGAACCTTTATTTCAAGGAGGGTAAACTCAGCAAGGAATGTTCTGTCCCTCTTTCTCTATGAACCTGCCACAAAACACCCTATTGCTACCATTTTGTCACCAAATTAAACATGGTTTGGGCCACATGTGGTTTATAGGCTGCATTTTGTTCACCTTTGCTTTAGTTTAATTTTTTTTTCCTTTAGGTTAAATGTTTGCTTTTAAATGACCAGCATTGTTGTTGATCCAGGCAGCTCCATGCCCAAAGGAAAAAAATCGGGAGTTGTTGAATGACAGTTCCTGCTGGACTATCATTGGGACCGAGACTGTGGAGTACACATTCAATGACAGCCTCACTGGCATGTTGGATCCTGTCAGTCCGGTCCCTCTCATCACAAATCTGGAGGTGTGTAGAGTTTTCCCCTTCTATCTGATTTATTTGCAGGGCAAAAGCATGACTTAGGCATTAATTTAATCCCTTCCCCTTGCCTTTCTCACATTTTTCCTCCATCTATGCCCTTTCTCATCTAGCTATTGCCTCTACAAGTGGCAAAACTATGCTGTCAGAGCCAACATGACACCTGCATTTCAAAAGCAATATTTCCAAGATATGAACCAGAGATATTAAGGACTGAAATAAAATCCTGTGAATACAAAACATGAAGCTATGTTTTCCTCCTATGTTCACTCACCATACATTTACATGGAGGCTAAACTAGGAAACCTTTCAAAAGGAGATGTTAACATGTTTTCTTTAAGATGAGAAAGGCTTGGAAAGGGGAAAAGAGACTGGGGTGGTGCTGAACCTTAATAATAATATATAATGTAATCCTCTCTTCTGACAGCTGACAGGTGGAGGGGATGTGGCAATGCTAGATGTTCAGGGAGAGCACTTCCATGCAAACCTGAAGGTTTGGTTTGGAGATGTGGAAGCGGAGACTATGTACAGGTGAGAGAGAGAGAAAGGAACTGTTGTGACTATACAAGGTACACTATTGTTGTTTGGGCACATTCAACCAACATCTCTTCTTCTTTTTCTGGGGGTATGACCTAATCACTAGGTTATGTGTGGCAAGGAATGTGTAACTCCATCAGAGGTTGAATTCATCATTTCCAACACATTTTGAAGTGGTAAAAATTACCAATCTGACAATAGCATTATCAGTATTCTCACTTACAAGAAGTGGAGATAGGAGAGAAATTGGTTGGATTGGCTGTGAAAATACCTATATTGAAACTCTGAAGTTGAGCAATGAGAGGATGCAAACTTTCCTTTTGAGCCTTTGCTTTCAAGGCTTAGGATGTGTTTTGAAAAGGGGGGGGGGCATACAATTCCATGCATACACCTGAAAAATGCTCACAACTCAATGTGCACATGTATATTTGATTCAGTAGGGAAAAGCCATACATTAGGATGAAAATGTATAATCGAATGTAAAACTCTGAGATTTGGGTCATGAAGAGAAATACCACTTTTTTGTTGTACTTTTCTTTCATTTAGGAGCCCCACATCCTTAGTGTGCGTTGTTCCTGATGTTTCCGCATTTAGCCATGACTGGAGGTGGCTGAGATATCCCATCACTGTCCCTCTCTTGCTGCTAAGGAATGATGGCCTGATTTATTCCAGCACATTCAGCTTTACATACACACCAGAGCAGAGTTTCATCACAGAACCACCAATTTTGCCAGAAATGATACAGGATTCAGATACTTTGCTTGACACCATTCATCAGGAGTTCACCAAGGCCAACTTTCACCTCTTCATGCAAAGTTAGACCCATGGTTTTGTCTATGGTAATTCAAAAGAAGTATAGAGGAAAAAAATTGCAGAATATCACAGTGAACACAAGATTCACCTTTTTGGAATTTTGCCCAAAATTCATTTGAGGATATATGTCATTACAAGTAGACTTGTATCTGTGGGAAATAGAATTGAGCAGGCCTGTAATTTCCATATTCAACAACAAGCTAGCATACCATTATTGTTGAAGACAGCCAGTGAAGAAACTCTTGTGCATCTTCACAATTCACTAGGAGAGTCCCATAGCACATGTGCTATGTAGCTAAGTATAGATAAACATGTGGAACATAGTGATTGTGAATCCTGGCCTTTTCCTTTATATGTAAAATGTATTTTTCCAGTTTTGGTGCCTTTGAAAATATATTTGGAGTATGAGTTGGGCTGCTAACAGTTGAACATTCATTGACCTTGACTCAGGAGTGACTTACATGACCATAACAAATGTTACAAAACATTAAAATGGCAAAGTAATATAAATTAAACAGGATATGAGAAATTATACCAGTTGTCCTTTGTGAATGACCTGTGTGTATAATATCCAGCTTGTTTTGACACTGTTTTTTTTTTTTGTCTACACATATTCTACACAAGCAGCTCTTCAGATATCAAAACATTTACCTTTTGTATTATGACACTAGCCCTGATCTTTCCTGATCCCTGCTGAGTTGTGCTTCAATCTCCCTACGACACAGGTCAAGGGCAAATAACCTCGTAAGTGATTTGTTTGCTGATTCAGAAATTACAAAAGAAGAGATATGTACTTCCCTACTGGAGAGAAAAGGTGTACAAAACAGAACATTACTTTCATAGGAGAATACATTTCCATTTATCACAGTGTGTTTCTCACTTGAATGGCACACCAGGGAATACTCTGCCCTCAGTAAAAATAAAAATGTGTCTGCACAAGTCGTATATTACAACTTCCCCTATCATTATTATGATGTCACATGGTACCTGCAGCAAAAGAAGAGGAAGAAGAGAGTCTGATCCTTGAAATTTTCTAAAAACTATCTAGCAATCTTCCAGTTGTTGCTGGTACACATTAACTTGCTATCGTGTAATGGTGTTTGCAGCATGAATAAGAAAAGAGTGGAGGACATGCTAGGATCAATATGTTCCGTTTTTAATGAAATTACACCTCCTGTTCACAAAAGGAAGACTGGACTCACTGCTTGCTATAATTGAAAATAAATGTAAAAAATTGTAGTCAGACAGCTCTTTGTAGAATCAAGATAGAGTTAATGCATCACTAACTGCCATCTTGGTACATGGAATTCTTTTGGCTTGGATCTTGTGAAGGCCAAACTAAAATCCCTGAAGGAAACAGTGATTTCTTTTCATTCACTTTACCTCCTGAATGAGCACTTCTAAATAAACTGGAAGTCAAATTTATTTTTTCACAGATAACTGGTCATTGAAAGAAGCAAAAACATGATAAACATGGAACCTCCCATGTTTCAACACATATCCAGAACTAGAATGTTATTTCTTCACACAGCTTCTTTATGAGCTTTATGCCCTGTCTTGTATTTTAATAGCAGTTAAATATCCCAGCTCCTCATTTCTCATACTTTCATGGTTGAGTAGGAGCTTCTAAGAGTATAACACCTTACTTCTTCATTAGCTAAATCTCCAGGGTAGCTCTATCTCATCCAAATAGTATCCTCCAAGACAAATTGATAATTCTTAGAAGTCAAACAGAAAGTCTTGCAAAGTTCATATTCTAGGGCTTTCCTTCTTGCAAGCAGGAAAATGTGTCTGATTAAGTTTTCATTGTGCCCTACAACCCCTGCTTCAATGAGCCAACAATGTCAAAGCAAGGGAAGAGAGCAGTAGCAGAAACATTTCTGACTCCTCTGCAGCCTCTTTTGGTATAAGTGGAAGGATGAGTTGTTGATGTTAATAGTTATAAAGTCCACTTTGATTTATGAGGCCCTGTGAATTAGAGAATTCCAAGAAACCCTGACATCAGGAGCTTTGCTCGTGTTCTCAAATGTCTGGTCTGTAGCTTCACATGGAGAAGTTCTTCTGGGGCAACTCTGGGATAAAACTGGCACAAAACCCCTGCCACCATCAAAAATTACTGGCAGTGCACGACTGGAAGCATCCCATCTTTCCATTGTGAAAGATGGGTTGAGCCAGCTTAAAGAGGCTTCTCCTTCTGTGATGAGGTAGGAGGGAAGTCAGGAAGGTGTGGGGCATGAGACGACGGATCCCCATGCCCCCTGACCAGGCCTGCCAGGATTGCTACAATTCACAGTGATATTTGGTGATTCCGGAAGCATGTGTGAAGAAGTCCTAGGGCTATTCACCTGTGATTTTCCTCTTTTTGTGCTACTTCCCAATATACCCAGCTTTATCATTGTTTTCTAATGATATGCCCAAAATATCATTATGTCATGTGTTCTCATGATATGCCCAAAATATGACAGACACAGTTGGGTCATTTTGGCCTTTAGGGAGAGTGTGGGTTTGATTTGTTCTAGGGCCCATTTATTTGTCCATGGCATCTGTAGAGCATTTCTCCAGCACTATACTTCAACTTACTTGATTTTTTCACCCTTCCTATTTCTTCACTGTCCCCATGTCACACCTACAAAAAGAAATAGGAAATACGATGGTATGAAGAAAAGGTTATTGCCCTCTCCAATCATTTATAAAAGAGGAGCATAATCCTGAAACCTTCAGGGAAGTGTATGGAAGCCGGTAGACATGATGCCCCATCAAGGAGGTCCAAGGCAAAGAAGTTGTGGACAGGTGGAATGTCATACCACCCAACATGTGAGCTACACCCTGCCTTTCTGGTTGAGGCCCACTTGTACACTTTCACACATACAGCTTTTAATTAATGAGACAGCAGTACATTTCAAAGGGCCATGGGTGGCTTCTGTGTTCTATGGATGTACAGATATCCACTATACACGTGTTGTGGGCTTTGAAGATTTATTTAGAACCTTCAGATGAATGGGGCATCAAAGGGCCAATCATATATTCTGAAGCATGTTATTTTAGCATTAGAAGCTGATTTAGAAAAGAGCCTGCTGCCAAAACCACACTGGCTTTTAGCCCACACTGAACTCCTGAAGGCCTACAGAGGAGGCTGGTAAAAACTGACCGCAGCCCAGTGGACGTCAGCATCCTTGAAATGCCAGGCGAGCAGTGCCAACAAATAGCCCTTTCTCTGCCTTCCATACTTAAGCCTCTAGTGGTGGAAAAGTCCCTTGTTCTTGGGGGTGTTTTGTGGGCATGGGAAATTCCATGCCTGGCACATTTCAGACCGAAGCACACAGGTTATTTTATGCCGCTGGTTTCACAGATGGGCTCCCATACCTCTTTATGTCAATGTGGATATTTCTATCATGTCAAAGAGTCAGCTTATTTGCTCAAGGGAAAATAAAGTTCTGACCCTTTTAACACCTGGCCCACCCTTTCAATAATAAAGAGACTCCAGTCTGGCTTCAGAAAATACTGTTCCGAACGGCAGTATCCCAATTCAGCACCAAAATAGCACTTCAAACCTAGTCCAAGCAGGTAAGGCCCACATCCAGAAAACATTGTGGGGAAGGGGAAACCTCTAGCCTATTTTACTTAGCACTGTTATATTTCATACTTCTGAGAGTCCATATCAAGGCCAAAAACACTGTAAATCTTAAGGATAGTGATTTGACCCAAAGTCACCCAACTGAATGTTAGAGCTGAAGAGGGATTGCAACCCAGCTCTCCAGTGCCACACTTTAGCACTTTTGCCAATACACTACAGTGTTGCATCAAAAGGAAAGAAACTGTGTGGACATATAGGCATATCTAGTGAGTGACCTACTTTAAAAATAATAATTGTGAATTCTCTTGTTTTTACTTTCTTTTGCACCTTTTAGACCCCAAATTGTGCATCCAATGATCTGAACATGTTCCTCCACCATTTGATGCCCCCACTAAGTAGAAAAGCTGGGTGGGGGATTTCATTTTCTGCTCATAGAGGCATCAAAGGGTGTTTGCTCTGAAATGGAGCACAGAAATCCAAAAATCTTGAAGTAACCTAAATGAAACCAGAAGGGCACTTCCAGCTACAAGTTCTTGTCTGGTTTTCTTGTGTGTTTTGGGACCTGGAGAAGTCCATTTGATGAAAAATTGGCTTGCAACCCAATGTGGTTGCCCATCCTTGGTCTAGTTTGACCATTTCACCAGCTCACTAGTGTCATAAAACTGTGGTCTACCTAACACTAGCCACATGGGAGATGAAGAGGGCACAAAACAAATATGAAATGAAGCTAATCTCTGTTAGCCTGAACATCTGTAAAGTAGATTGTGGCTTGACCCTGGTTAAATTAAACAATGGCTCAGCATCACATCAGAACTAGTCCAGTTTCAGATATTGCAGACACTCCATCCTTGTTTTAACCATGAATGGTTTCGTTGATCATGGCTCTAATGTATCTCCAATACTTGGAAAATGAAACGCTACAAATCATGGAGCAATAAATTTAGAGAATCTTGCCATTGCAGGAGGTTGCCATTCATATTCTAACAGTATGCATCCAAGCAGAAGTACCTCCTGTAGTTCAGCAATGACCATAATCCCTTAAGACCCATTTACTCCCTCAATGGTGCATTCCATTTTTAGCATCCAAAGCAGGGGAGAAAAAGGCCATTCTGCTCCACAGCTCTCCCTGCCACTCCAAATGAGTTTGCTGTTGATTCATGGATAAATATATTGCATAGCGAAACTCTAGGATGTGTTTGGTGGCCCCTTTGGGTATTCACCATGAATAGTACGATATATCATCCTGACTTGTTAGCAGAAGCAAATAAAAACCAGTTGGTTGCTCCAGTTCCAACTTTAGAATTAGAGGAAAAAGAGAGGCAAAGGGACTAAAGTCAGGTCATTTTAATTTTTGTGCAAAAGATCAGGATAGAGTTTGACTATATAAGCTGGTCTTTCTGAGCAAGAAAATGTCACATACCCATAAATCTGCAAGGGGTAGATGTGAAAAACTTCACAAGAAATAACTCCCCCCCCCCCCCCCCCCATTGGTTTTGTGGCAAAGAACCGAGGTGGAGATTTTCCTGAGTTTTTTCCCTATTTTTTCTAAGCCTTCAGATGTTTACTGCATGTCTACCACAGTGGCTGCCATTTTCCTGTCTCCAGTTTCCATCTCTTTTGGTGAAGACAGAGTGACTTTGAAAACAGGATATATTTGCATTTGTTTTTACAGTGTAAAACCTACATTGAACCTGGCCTTCATATAACAGATAAATGTACCATCTATGTGATACACACACCACACACAAAATCTGTCCATACATGAAAGAGACGTATACAGGCAGTTCCCAAGTGACAAAAAGATAGGTTCTGTGGGTTTGTGGGTTTGTTCTTAAGTTGAATTTGTTTGTAAGTCAGAATTACATTTTTAAGTGTAATTCCAGCCATCCTCTCTCTCTCTCTCTCTCTCTCTCTCTCTCTCTCTATCTTTGGATAGTACAGGAAAGGGTTAACAGTCC